TACACTCCTCTGGTGGACTCGATGAGAAGCTTGGCTTGGGTTGGTCTCGTCTTGGCAGGACGCGGGATGGTTTGGGGTTGGCGTAGCGTGGATACTCTGTGTCGACAGAAGGCACCGCTCGCTGTTGCCACTCTGACCGCTTCGAACATCCAAGTCGAACACAGAGTGGAACAAGCGAGTCTCCTCGAGTTTGTCGCCGCGCTCGAGAAAGCTGGATCACATCTGTTCGTCGCCCTCTTCTAGTCATCTTCACTAAATGGCCCGTGCTGGCTATTTAGCTTTAATCCCGACGTAAAATGTCCAGTGGAGTCGAATGCTGGACACAGTGATCAATGTATATGCGTTGCTATGCCATTCAAACACTGTGGACGGACTGATGGAGCGTGGCGGAAGCTTGCTCGTTCCGAAATCAGAAACCGCGGGTCTAGGCAGGTTCTGTGTACCTAACAGAACTGCTGAACTTTTGTGTTTAATTCGTTTGTTTTACATCCGCCAAGATTGCAAGCTTTCCGCTTATTTCTACCCACATAAGCTGATATTGCGAGCTGAACAAACCGTATTATGGCTTGTCGACGCTGGATAAAATTCAGTGCTTGTGTGCTAAATGGTTTTTTTCAGCTTTATTTTCTTCTCCGCAGCAGGCCTGGCCAGTGCGCTGTCTTTATCCTGTACAGACAAGATGTCCTTGTTCGCGATGACTGTGTCCTGCACCGACACATTGTTCTTGTTTGCTGTCTTGTTCCTGGAACGAGACGCTTGTATTCGCGTTGTTATCGCTGATACCATGTCGGTATCAGTTCTCTTTTGCGATTGACGGTATATCCTCCCTGACTTAAAAAGAGAATCACCGTTCTAAGCAATCTCGGAAGCCGTGGATGCCTTATGGCATTCACTTAGAACGGTGTATTCCCCGTAGCGACATGCACCGATGTTGATAGAAAACTTTGCCATCGGCAAGCACTCGCTACACTACAGGAATGAGTGCGCATAGATCTTCCTCAGGCCATGACCACGCGAATCACACCCTCGGTCTGCCCGTCCGTCTGCGGATGGTCCGCAGCCGACATCGATAATTGTGCCAAGGAGTGTAAACACTTCTTGTCAGAATCGTGTTGTAAAGTGTGGATCACGATCTGACCCAATGTCAAGCGGTACATCATGGTGTTTAAACACCATGTCAACCAACAGGCGTGCAGTATGCACGGCTGTGACTCGGCTGGAACCGCAGCAAGATGTACCCACCTGCTGACTCGGTCTACAAAAACGTCAATATCAGTCCTCCGCTTGTTAGCCGGAGGAAGCCCCAATATAAAATCCATAGAAATGGACTATCGGCACTCCGGTGGTGCTGGTAGTGATTGTAATGGGTTATTTGCTTCAGCATCATCAACGATGGCGCTGCATATGTACAGAGGTACCGGCTTTGGCGGCGAGGTTGCGCCGAACCTGTCAGCAATCTCGGATACAGTTGGTATCCTAGGAGTGCGTGCTGTAGGTGCAATACGCGGAGGAGAAGACGTCACCAGTGCCGGTGGCTTCGCCTCTTCTTCACTACGCGTACGCTTCAAGGTCGAAGCGTCCGGAACGTCATCACGAGCACGTCATGATCCAGTAAGTGGATAGTGTGCATGTACGACTGACCCGGGGTCGACTGTTGATGATGATGCTTCCTCATCACTGATGGAGACATCACTGATGTCCGACACATAGGCTGTGATATATTACTGTCGGTGTTGAGCACCAACAAGCCCTCAATAATGGCTGCAGGGGCTTCAACTGCGACTTGTGACCACGTCTGCGTTTAAAAAGCGTACGAAGCCTAGTACATGTCGACATAGAGATTTCCTGTGCCGTTGGCGGGCTACTTGCACAGACACAGGAGTGGTGGTGCCTACAGTTGCAGGCACGGGTGTATAAGTGGCTGCCAGAGTCATCGCGCTAATCGATAATGCCTTCTAGCGAAAGTAGATTGCACGGTGTTAGTGGCCGCCACACAAATGGGTGGTACAAGCGGAAGTTTTGCAATTTATAACCAACAATATCCGCAGCATTGAAAGCTTGACCAAACTATGGTGATGGCATCGGTTATGATAGGAAAAATTATATATAAGCGAAAAGAGCTAGCACTCGTTAACGTGCACCGTAACTGTCTAGAAAATTCCATACAGCGGCTCACGTAGGTCGCTGACAATGGTTCCTGGCTACTCGCGCATGACATACACGGGAAAATGCTTTAGTGCGCACAAACTCTGCATCTCGTAGCTTTCAGCGCCGAATATAATGAATACAATAATGACTGGATGCTTAAAGAGAAGATACTCGCCTCTATGTTTGTGGCTTTCACCTGTTTTGGCCGGTAGAATCTTAATTCAGGCGGATTAGAACCATTGAAGTCTGTCATCACACATTTATTGATAATTAAGTTGCAGTTACACCGGTTCAGCACGGCTCGGCGTGACCGTTGGAACGTGGAACGGTTAATTCAGGCGGATTAGAACCATTGAAGTCTGTCATCACACATTTATTGATAATTAAGTTGCAGTTACACCGGTTCAGCACGGCTCGGCGTGACCGTTGGAACGTGGAACGGTTAACGAACCGTTCGACTATCGCTGATGAGCTCGTACTGGACCGCTGTTGGTTAATAACCTGTTGGAGCGCTGTGATGGGATGAAGGTACAAGGCTATAGTGGTTCCGCCGCATTTACAACAAGACAACAAGACGGACAACAGAGAGATACTGTTTAGAGAGACATGCAGGACAGTTTTGGTTAACACTAATCTACTCACTTCAGCATTTGCATCCAATTTAACAAGTCGCAATACAGACAACGACGGTGCAAACATATCATACAAATCCACCATGAACGCTTGAAATTCAAAACACAAGATTTGCAAAGGTTAAAGTTAGAGCCATAAAAAAGTAAATTTCATTGACCGGCAGCTTAGCAAAGTACTGCCGACCTCGCGTCTGCCCTTTCATCCTGTCGTGAAGCTATCGCAACGTCAGCGGCCTTGGAAGGCTTAATACCTGAATCAGTGAATTGGCTGTGGGGGATTCTCCTGTCGTGGGAATAAAAAAGCGACTTCTATAGAGGATGGTGTTCAGAGGACGGCGAATTTCGCCGTCGTTGTCTGTAAATTAAGCATAGGGTTGTGGACTCTTCCCCTTTATCGCTGACCAGCGTGTTCGGTCTGGAATGGCGGCCAGCAAACCACCAACGCCTTCATATCCCTCCAACTCGTGCTTTATTAGCTTATTCTGTCTTAAAGATGGCTTGTCATCCCCGCTCTAAAACCGACGGAGATCATGCAACCCATAATTAACCTGAAATTAGCTGACCAAAATTGGGACCATACATGTATGAACCAATGAACTCAATTTATTGCTGTATTAAACGTAGTGCTGCTTCAAAACTCGACTGCTCTACCAAGTAGTTGTATGGCGAAGCCTTTTGCAAAGCGTACCGACGTGCAAGGCATCACCACCCTACACCCAACTGTGTATTCAGTACTACTATTGCCTAAAATCGATGATCGTTTTCGACTTGATCACAAAGTGATTATCATATCATTCGCTCACTTACCTTGTCAAATACTTATACATCTACATGCTGTACAAGCGAAAGCCTAGAAGTTCTTATGCAAGCGTACCCCTATTTAACTGAAACAAGAAATGTATATTTGGATCGCAGAGACTCCATTTCCCTTGGCTACCAGTTTCCTTTGTAACCCATGTTGACATTATGCTCAACCCAACCGTGCATGACTTGATAGCTTCCATCAGAGCGGCCACGCCTCGGCGAGGTGGTCCTCGAAGTGTTCGTCACTAAAAGGGACCTCCGCTTTTCCAAAGCTGTCGCCGTTGTTCAAAGCTGCACGAGCTGCGTCCGTGAGTTGTTCCCACATGACCAAGTCCTGGTACTCGCCGTTCTCCATAGCTAAACGCATATACGGAGAGGCCAAGGTAATCTGGTAGTGAAAGCGGAGAAACAAGATGCTTCTAGCTTCGTTGTAATACTTCGTGTCGGACTTTGACCTGGAGACTCCCACAATCTTAGGTGTCTCCAAGTCGGGGTTGTCAATCCATACAACAACACTTTTCCAGTCATGGCGTCTCGTGGGAAAATCAATCCAAAAGCCTTTCGGAAAGTACCACGCATACATAATGGCTCACACGTCCTTGTACCATCCAGCTGGACTGTAGACTTGCGAGCCCTTAGGCGCATATTTACAGGCGTCGTTCACATTTGTCCCCTTGAGCCCGCCGGTAACTTCTCCAGCAGCATTTACGGCAGGAAAAGACACAAGCGATATTCGAAGTGGACAACTGCGGCTTGAACTTGATAGCAGCCTTCTCAGAGATCGTGACAGGCTCGGGTTGAGGAATAGGTTCGATCTTGTCATGATCGACAGTCGCACTAGCACAAGCAATCAGTGCCGCGAAGAGTGTGGTGGCAAAGGCTCTTAGCTTCATCTCGGCCCGGACAATCGGAGAATGGACTGAATCAAGTGGGTACCTTGACATGTGAGTATCCACGGTATCCGGTTATTAACTTGGATGTCGTGATGCTAGGCTTTCAAATCTGGAGAATAATGGAGATATCCGAGGACACATCAGACTTGCCAAGGTCTCTATGGTGTTCCTTTCAGAAGCTGATTTCCAATGAAATCGACTTAGAAAGGACGAGGACGTGTATACCTCGTACTCCAAATACCATGAGGTAAGACCTTTGATATTGTTCTCATTTTACTGTTTTTTTTTTCATCACATTGTATCATGTTTCAAGTTAGACAATATCATCAAGGGTAACACGAAGAGCAAGTCAACCAGTTCGATGGAATCAGATCCTATTAATTACGACACCTTATCACGATATACGATCTCATCTTAGACAGGTTCAGCTGTAACGGGAACTGCCCAAGATGTATGGATTCGGTAGAAATGACCCAAGCGTATAGCAATCGACTACTGTATCCCTAACCAATAGCGTCCTTCTCGGTCTATATGCGTATACCTCATATATATATCGTCACAATAAAGATATTGCGGGTAACTTGCATACTTTTAATTAAGAACCAACTTTATTACGTTAAATAGCTCAATCCTCTAATGCGACGATTTTTCAGTTACCAACTCCACAACTACCCAAAGTTGAAACAAGATGATAGGCTGCCAAGTAGAAACTCGCGTGTTTTTTTTTTTTTTTGATAGACAACATCTAGAGATGTCGTGTACTCTTAAAAACGACACACAACATTAGTATAAATGATCGCAAAAGTCGCGCTTCACTTTTACGAAACTTTCGTGCAGCCTCCGCCACCCACTGACGGGGGACAACCCAGACACCGCTAGTTATAGATCCGCCCCTGTCCGACACAGGGAGAATTAACTGCGAGGTCGAGGAGCCGCCAGTTGTGTCATTCGGAACTCTCAATCTTGCCCAAAACGTATCAGTACCGGAACACCCAATATTAGTCGAAAGAATATCAACCGAAGCAGCATTAGAATCAGAATCTCCGCCCCGGTTCCTTGATCCTTGTCTCTCCGTCGAAGGTGTCCTAGCATCGCCGGTGCCATCAGAAGCATTATTAGCAGCAGTAGTGGTACCCCCCCCCCCAGTCTAAAATGCTTCATACTGCCATAGGCAAAAATATCATTTGGATACTGCACACATGTACGGACACAATTTTATCAGTTAGAACATACCGGCCGAATTCATACACCTTTGGACATTTGTCCAATGATACCTGTCATGTCCACAATGAAACATATGATGATGCAATTTCGAGATGGGATTTCCCGCAATGATTGCGTTGACAAGCTGTCCTCAACTCTGGAACACGAATAAATACAATCAGGCAACTTATATTCCTTTGTGCACTACTAGAGATTCGCAGGTTGCCGTCGATATCTCGTTTTAAATACTAGTAATCAGGGAATCGATTTTTTCATATCGCGTCCCCAATTGGGATTTTCCCTAAATACTATCAGGTTCCACCAAAACTTGCAGAAAGTAGCATCTATCAATCCGTTTTGTATGCGAACAGAAAAACCATGTTATCCTTTCATTCCAGCTGGCATCAAACAATTCCCGTATGACGTGATGCTCTAACTAGGGCTTGACGTAGACTGGGACAGAAAAAAACATGGGTGAATCTAGGAGCACCGGGGCACAAATAGTATATACAGATGCATATAGTAATGGGACCCACGCATTCATCAAAACGACGAAGTAATTTACTAGCTACAGTAGCGTAGCTCCATATGCGAGGAGGTAAGAAAGCACTAACCGCTAAGATGTTCTTTAAGGGATTACTCTTCAAATCATAAAATGACTGAAAACTTACTGACAGCTCATTTGCAGACGTTCCGGAATTTGTAATTTCAAAATGTGATAATTCCCGTCTGGAACGGTTCCCCCAAAACCGACCTGGTGTGGCATTTGCTTTGAGAGGTGCATCGTTTCGTAAATGGTTCCATAATTTCATATATCAAATCTTGTCCAGTGCTACGAATCCACCAGTGACGATCGAAATCACGCGGCTGAAGCACAATAGTATAGTCAGACTCGTGTGCGCAAATCATAGCATGAATACAGGGTCTACCACAACAGTTTTTAAATGTCCTGTACATGGTTTCAACTGCAACTGTTTGTCTGGATACTTTATATGATCCTGGACATGCTTGATCTTCGCTTTTTAGAGCTGGTACGTATCGCTTAAAGCATGTACAGTAATGATTTTAACCACATTGGCAAAAGGCTGGACCGCTGAGGCTGTCATGAACCTTGATTACGTCTCTTTGCGATTCAAGACTCACCGCGTTTGCGGAAGATTTCCACCAAGGAAGCAGCTTCTGAAATAAGGTCAAAAGATCGCCTTTCGATGGATCCAGCCATGACTTGATTTTTGTGTGGGTTCCCTGGATAGTTGAGGTGTCGAGACACCCAAAGTGAAGATGATTGTTCGTCCAGTACTTCACTATTTTTTCTTAGTACTTCCACCACATCCTGTATAGGTATTTGTAGGTAGTTTCACACTTGAACTATGAGAAGTTGGATCATGAGAGCATGGCGTCCACTGGTAAGGGTTGCCATGCTGAAAGATCGACGTTGAAACGACTACTCAAGAGATTTAGGACTCCGATTAAGAGAGCAACTTCTAATACAATTCGCGTTTACATTTAACAGCACAAGAGACCACAAAGTATACTTTGGTTGCGAGCAGTTCGCAATCGATAGTCGTGGTAGACTGAGATGTCGCGGTTTCGGCTGGACAGCGACGACGACGCGGAGATGACGGTTCCGCAGCCAGTCTACTAATACATCGGACCTCCTGAGTTAGCGGAGTGGAATCAAGCGTCC